AAGAAAGAAGTCAGCTTGCAACTTCAGGAACAAAGGAAGGGCAACAAAAATGGCAAGTATCTGCAAAAATTATCCTCATATTATTTTATATATGTATGACTTTTTTGTTTTTCTGGCCACGTCTGCGTGGCCTGCGGGATCTTAGTTCCCCTACCAGGGACTGAACCCGGGGCCCCAGCAGTGAAAGTGCTGAGTCCTAACCACTGGACCTCCAGGGAATTCCCTGTATATGTATGAAAAAAGGATACCACAGTCTCAGAGGGTGGCGTTCAAGTCATATAAAGGTGACACATATGACAGCTATAACAAAGAGTGGAAGGTAAAAGAATCTATATGGATGTAAGCCTTCTGAATTTTATTTAATTGGTAAAATATTAACTCTAGACTGTGAAACAATACGTATACATAGTGTTATTCCAAGAACACATAAAAAATGACAAACTCAAGAAAATTGGCTAACCTCAATAGTCCTATATTTAGGAATTGTGGACAAGATAGCTAAAACATTCACATACGTGTTTTGTGAAGTTTTTCTCTTGGTTAATTGCCTAGGAGTGGGGGTTTGGGTCATATGGTAAGTATGGCCCTCTCAGCCAGCCCTGGCCACCACTTCAGGTGTCACCCCAGCAGGATCTGGATGGTGTGGGCACTTGCGTTCTTAGCGGCTCTCCCCTCCAGTGCCGCCAGGGGAAAGGGCAGGAGGACGCAGAGGCGCTGCTGCCAAAGCTGCCGCCTCTTGTGGGAGCTGCACAGCCAGCAACCTTGCTCCTCTTTGCTGGGCAGGGATCCCGTCCAGTACAGTTAGTTACCCCGACAGCACTGGGGTGCGGCCAGGGGAGCAGGGCCAGCTGTCCTGCCAAGAAGCTCATCACCCTCAAGGCAAACACCTCCAACCCTCAGACCCCCGGGAGATTCAGAAGCGCTAGACGGTCCAGGGGCGCGCAGGCTCACCTGTGCGCCGCAGGGCCTGACGTGTACTCTGCGCAGGCACCACCCCTCCCTAAACGTTTGCGCCCAGCGAACACACGCCCATTCTTCGCTCACGGGTTTCAAGAGTATAAAAAGGCAACAGGCCAAAGAGAGCGCACTCCGCTTTTGGCCGAGTTGGCAGCTGAAGGAGAGTGCTCGGAGCCCAGCTGTCTGTCCAAGGACCGACCTCACGCAAGTTCTCTAGGGGCAGTTACTTAGGTAGGCCCTGCCCCTCACCCCCGCCCCGGGCACTGGGGGACCAGCACCTGCCGGGAGGGCTCGGCTTCCCCCAGCCCTCTCCCCGCGCCCACCCACTTCCCGTGGCCGGCCCGGGTCACCCAGCTGTCTATGGCCGGCTATCCACTCGCAGGCCAGCCCACAAGTGTCCAGTGACTCTGCATCTGCGCTTTGACACAGAGTCTCTGAGACCCCATTCTACCATCCCGCAGACCCTGCGCTCCTTTATGGGGATCCTTATCTCCATCTTCAGGCGAGGCCATCGGAAGGAGGCGGTGATGGGTGCTCGCACCTCCACGACGTCCCGCAGCTCAGTGTCCGCAGTGGACACAGTCACTATCAGTGTGGCGCGGGGTCAGCCAGAGCCGCCCACTACACCCAGCTGTGTCCCGAACTACGTCATAGAGAAGACAGTGTGGGGGGCCCTGGGAGAGAGCGGGCAAGGGGTGGCCAAGCAGGAGGAAGTCCCCACAGTCACAGGGAGGAACAACGACCAGAGAAGCGGCCCCGATGACACCGGGGGCACACGATCTGCCTTTAGGCCCCTGGGGGGCTCTTTCTTCGTGCCCAGGCCTGGACCTCTGCAGAGAGACCTCCATGCCAAGAGGGCGGAGGGCAGATCCAACATAAAACTCCAGACCTCTTGTATGAGCTCCTGCCCCCAAAGAAACGCCATCACGAGCTCATATAGCTCCACCCGAGGTTTCCCGCCAGTGAAGAGGAGGAGGGGTCCCGCCATACCGCAAGGGCTGCCCCACAAGTCCTCAAACACAGCGAGTGAGGAGGGCCCTCCATCGCCCTCTGCAGCCCCGGTGGTTTCCCATAGGCAAAGCCAGCCTGACAAGGATGCAGAGGCAACAAGAGAGCAGAAACGGCCTGGGAGGAACGGCTCCCGCACATCTGGCAGTCCCAGGCCCCGAAAACGCAGGATTCCTCTGCTGCCGCACAGGCGAGGGGAGCCTCTGAGGCTTCCGCCAGCCCCTGAGCTGGGTTTCCGGGTCACCGCCGAAGACCTAGACTCGGAGAAGGAAGCAGCGCTCCGCCGCATCAACAGTGCGCTGCGCGGTGAGACCTACGCCATCGGGGGCCTGGGCGCCACACAGCCTTCCTGTCCCTTCCCCCTGCCAGCTGTCCCTGCAGACCCCAGCAGGGATCCACAGCTGGAGAGATGCGGTAGGAAGCAGGACTCCCCAGCCCCAGTGGACATCCGGGCTTCCGCTGGAGGGGCCTCCTCTGTGCATCCTTTGTCTGGGAGGCCGCACAGCCCACCGGGCCGCCTCTTCTCCTCGCCCCAGGCCCGGCAGACGCCCCCCAGTGACAGCACATCCTCAGTCACAGTCACCACCGGCCTGCCTGCATTCAGGTTCTGCGCCCAAACTCTGAGATGTCCTCTTCGGCCTGGAGCCACTACCCAACCCATCTCTGGGGCCCCTGATTGGCAGCAGCGAGGAACCACCGCCTGTGGCAGCTCTCCCCAGCATAGGAAACGGACAGCTCCAGCCTTTGCCTCTGCTCCAGGCCCCCCAGCTTCGGGCGGTCCCGCACAAGCATCTTCTGGGGGTTCATCATCCACAAATTCCACCGTGGGCACCCACGCCAGCACACAGCTGGGTTTTGGGAGCATAGTGACTGCCCTAGATCTGAGCTGGATCTTTGCAGCTCTCAGCATTACAGCAGGAACGAGGGCGCCCCCGAGCACCACACACAGCAATGGGGGAAGCGTGGGCCTGAACTCCTGGGGCCCTCTCCTCACCAGAGCCACCCCCATGGTGACCACGGGACCCAGCACTGAGAATAAGCCTGGGTTTGGAGGCACTACTGCCCCCATCTTAAGTCACATCCCTGGGGGCACACCCAGGCAGGGCCACCCTACTTCCAGCGGAGGGCCCGGCCCATGCCCAGCCAAGGCTGCCTTTAGGGGTGTGTGGGTTCCGGCCTCTACTCCTATCAGCCTCAGCTCCGCAGTGGGCACACCTGCCCAGGGTTTGGCTGGACAAAAAACCACTGGGACATCGACCAACTCATTCTCCTCCAGGTCGCGATTCATTACCTTGGGGTGTAAGAGGAGGAAGTTGGCCTGAGCCACTAATTTTGGGGCGAGGCCATCAGTGTCCACCTCCTCCCAGGCTGGGCCTCGTGTGGACCCTGTTTCGATGTGAAACAGACATCTTAGCCCTAACCTCTGTAATCCTGGAGCAAACTGGGCACCCAGAGATACAGCATCTTGTTCCCACCCCCGGACTGCAGTTTTCCCCCCAAAGGTGGGTGGTTTGAGGCTGTTGTCCCATCCCAGCGGTCAGAGTCCTCAGGACAGTAGGCAAGAGGCCCTAGCCTCATCCCCTTCAGTCCTGGAACAAGGGGATGCCCGCTGTTGCCTGTAGCTGACTCCTCCCCTCTCCCTGTTTTCCTTCCAGAACCCTTGTGTTGTCTTCACAACTTATAATAAATCTTTGTTCTTGTTCTTTTGCATAACCCTCACGTGTCTGTGATCTGTAGATCAAGTGTGGAAAAGCACTGGCTTGTATGAGTGGTAACATGGAAAGCTAGACCTGTTTACAGTTTCCTGTGAGCCTGCTCATGGGTTGTGAAGAGTAGCACAACAAGATGGCTACAAGGGCCCTATATTAGAAGTGTGTTTTGAGTTTAAACGATGCAGCCGGAATAAAATGGGCCCAGAGGGAGGGGTAAACAGGGAGGATCATCCTTGTCTGTTGTAATTGCTGCTTCTCACCCACCTCTGTGGCCTGGAGGGGGCTGGATCGTCCCGAGCACACACCAGCCGCCCATACTCTACACGTTTAGTCTTTTCTAATGTAGCAGTTTCTTTGACTTTTTTTGTTTTGCTTTAATGAGTCTTAGGCAAATCATTTACATACACATCTCACTCAGAGAGTATATGCCCATACAACCTCAAGTAACCTACAGATCCAGTGCATTCCCTATCAAAATTCCAATGACATTGTTTTACATAAATAGGCAAAACAATCCTAAAATTCGTATGGAACTGCAATAGACTTCAAAAGCCACAGCAATCCTGAGGAAGAAGAACAAAGCTGGAGGCAACACTTTTCCTGATTTCAAATGATACTACAAAGCTATAGTAATCAAAATAGTATGGTACTGGCATGAAAACAGACACATACACCAATGCAACAGAATCAAGAGCCGAGAAATAAATCCACACACATGCAGGCAACTAATTGACAGGGATCCAAGAATACTCAACAGGGAAAAGATAGTCTCTTCAGTAAACGGTGTTGGGGAAACTGGATACCCACATGCAAAACAAAGAAAGTGGACCCCTATCTTACACCATTTGTAAAAATTAACTTGAAATGGATTAAGGATTTAAATGTAAGGCCTGAAACTCTAAACCTCCTAGAAGAGAACATAAAGAGAAAGCTCCTTAACATTGGTCTTGGTGATGATTTTTTGGGTATGACAACAAAACCACAAGCAACAAAAACAAAAAGCAACCAATGGGACTACATCAAACTAAAAAGCTCCTGGAGAGCAAAAGAAACAGACAACAAAATGAAAAGGCAACCTAGGAATGGGAAAAATTATTTGCAAACCACATGTATGATAAGAGGTTAATATCGAAAATCTATAAGGAATTCAAACAACTCCATAGCAAAAAACAAACAAACAAACAAAAACAAATAATCTGATTCTAAAATAGACAAAGCAGGGGACTTCCCTGGTAGTCCAGTGGTTAAGACTCCACACTTCCACTGCAGGGGGCATGGGTTTGATCCCTGGTCAGGGAACTAAGGCCTGCATGCCATGCAGTGTGTGTAAGAAAATAAAATAAAATAAAATAGGCAAAGCAAGATGAGGAAACAACTAAGTGTCCAACAGGTGAATGGAGAAAGAAAATGTGACATATAGATATAGATAGATAGAGAATAGAATTTTATTCAGCCACATGAAAAGAAGGAAATCTGCCATTTGTGACAACAGATAGACCTTGATGGCATTATGTTAAGTGCATTAAGTCAGAGGGCGAAACATAAATACTGTATGAGATCACTTATATGTGGAATCTTTAAAAAAGAAGAAGAAACAACTCACAGATACGTAGAATAGACTGGTTGCCAGAGGTGGGAAGTGGGTGAAATAGCTGAAAGTGGTCCAAAGGTACAAACTTCAAGTTATAAGATAAATAAGCCCTGGGGAGGTCATGTATAGTGTAGTGACTATAGCTAACAATATTGTTGTGTATTTGAAAGTTGCTAAGAGAGTAGATCTTAAAAGCTCTCATCACAGGACAAAAATAATTTGTTACTGTGGGTGGTGATGTATGAAAAGCCATGGAAGAAGCTTAAATGCATATTGCTAGTCGAAAGAAAGCAGTCTGAGAAGACTACACACTGGATGATTCCAACCATATGACATTCTGGGAAAGGCAAAACTATGAAAACAAGAGGATATGTGGCCCCAGTGGGCACCACTGTCTCTCCTTTCAGGAGCCTCCAGGTGCTGGAGACCTTCCCTCCTGAGATCCAGGTCTTCATGAAGGACTCCATCCGCCAGAGCAAGCCTTATGCCATTGACCCTGATGACTCCATCCACGCCTTGAAAGAGAAGATTGAAGAGGCTGGAGGACCTTACATGGAGAATCAGATACTCAGGTTCCGAGGCCAGAAACTGTGGAATCAATAGCTTCTCAGACCTGCACATCAAGGATTGTGACACCATCATGCTCGTTAAGAGAGGCCCCACATCCCCATGAGTGCCAAGATCAGGCTGTTCATTTTGTAGACTTCTGTGGTCATGTCCCCCTAGCTCACCCCTTTCTACCCAGACCACTGTGCTCTTTCTGAAGCATAAATAAAAACAGAATCCTCCCCTGCTTAAAATTCTCCAATGGCTCCTATTACCTACAGAATCAAGTTCACGTTCCTTTGCTTGGCATTCAGGGTTCTTGACCATTTAGCTCTTGCTGACCTCTCAGTCTCTCCTCATCACTGTCAAAACACACCAGATGTGACCAAACACTTGCAGTTCCAGAGCACTGACTGCTGGCTCACAACTCCATGACTTTGAGTCAACTGTCCTTCTCCCCCATGTTGTCACCTTTCAAAGCTCAGATATCTAAGTTATTGATTCTCAAAAGTGTGGACCCCAGACCAGCAGAATCAACATCATCTGGGAACCTCTTTGAAATAAAAATTCTCAGCAACTATCCCAGAATTACCTGAGTTAGGTTCTCTGGTAGTGGGACTCAGCAATCTGTGTCTTAACAAGCCTTCCAAGTGATTCTGAGCAAATATGGCAGCTCCAGGGAGTTAACACCCCAGGGGGTAAGCCTTGGCCCACTGAAAGACAGGAACCAGCGAGTGCAGCGAGTGCATACTCCCCTCCTCCACCTCTCAGGTGGATAATTTTGAGGCACGTTCTGCATTGCTCCTTATAGGGTCCCCAGTGTGATCAAAGCTGTGCTGTCCACAGTAGTGATCGATTTCATGAGATTTCTTGGACTGTTTATTCCTCCTTCTCAATCCCCCACACCTGTCCCTTGCAATCATTTCCCAAAACAAGTCTCATTTTTTTTTTTTTTTTTTCTTATTTAGGCCACACTGCGAGGCCTGCAGGTTCCTAAATACCAGACCAGGGATTGAACCCTGGTCCTTGGCAGTGAAAGCCCGGACTCCCAAACGCTGGACTGCCAGGGAATTCCCCCTTTCAAAATCTTGAAAGCTGCTGAACTCCCAGATATCTCATGAAAATGAATAATGAAAATGAATCAAAACTAATATGTAAAGTCTATTGAGCAAAGTGGGGGCTACCAGTGGGGAGAAGGAAGTGGGGAGAGGCAAAATAGGAGGATGGGATTAAGAGGTACAAAGTACTGTGTATAAAATAGCTAAGCTACAGGGACATATTGTACAGCACAGGGAATAGAGCCAATATTTTATAATAACTTTATTTTTTCAAAGATTTATTATTTATTTATTTACTTAATTTATTTTTGGCTGCATTGGGTCTTAGTTGTGAGACGCAGGATCTTCATTGAGGCATGCGGGATCTTTCATTGCAGCACGTGGGCTGCATGTGTTGTGGTGTGGTGGTTTCTCTCTAGTTGTGGCCTGCAGGCTCCAGGGCACATGGGCTCAGTAGCTGTGGCACACGGGCTTAGTTGCCCTGTCGCCTGTAGTATCTTAGCTCCCCGACCAGGGATCAGACCTGTGTCCCCTGAATTGGAAGACAGATTCTTTACCCCTGGATCCCCAGGGAAGTCCCTATAATAACTTTAAATGGAGTATAAACTATAAAAATATTGAAGAACTATGTTGTACACCTGAAACCGATATAGTGTTGTAAATCAATTCTACTTCAAAAAAAATGTTTTAAACTAAGATGTAAGGTCTGAATGTTTGAATAACTTTTGTTTGAATAACTTTTATATTGCCTTGAAGCTCATTATCTGTCATTATAAACATAGGACAAATGTTTGGAATCTCACTTTATTGTTGACTTTGGTTTGCGAAATTGCCACTGCTCTTTACACAGTTATAATATAGGACTGTTTAAGGACCAGGCACTACCAAACTTTGAAAATATGGAGACTTTTAGAATTTATGTAATTAAAAATGTGATTCTTTCCACTTGGGGTTAGCCAGTTGGAAAGTTTAAAATGCAACGTGTCACGGTTGAGGGTTTTTTTTTTCCCCCAAAATGGTATTTAAGACAACAAACACCCTCCACCCCACCACTTCCTCCAGCTAACACGTGGTCTGTCTCCTCCCTTTCACGACCAAGTTCTTGAAAGTGTTACCTACACTCCTGGTCTCCATCCTCCTCACCCAAATTATTCTTCAACCCCGCCCCTAAGATCTGGCTTCTTCTCTCAGCTCTCCCTTACATTTCACCCACAATGATCACCAGTAGCCTCTCGGGGGCTTCTCAGACCTACATTCCTGAACTTATCGGAAGCATTAGGCAATGTGGACGACTTTTTGAAGCTCTCTGGCTTAAACAGCTACCCTTCTAGACCTCCCCACTTCCCACTCCTCCTTGTATCTTCCTCCCTTTGTTAATAGTACCCTCCATCCATTACCCAGGTACCCAAGCCAGAGAGCTGATAGCCATCCTGTCTTTTCCCTCACCTCCTACCTGGAGTCACCAAGTCCTGTTCACCCTTCCCCCAAGGTAGACCTAGAATCCCATCCCTTCTGCAGCCCAGTTCGGGTCACCTTCCCTCTCACCTGGATCACTGTACAGTGTCCTGACACGTCTCCCTACATATCTACCCCTGCCCCCTGCAATCCATCCTCCCCACAGAAGCAGCCAGACCAATCATTCCAGAATGGTCATTTCACCTCTGGTCGCTCCTCTGATTTGCCACTGCCCTCAGGGCAAAGTCAGCACAGATTCACCTGATATGTGACCCAGTGGATCACTTTCTCTTTCCCAGAACAATGTTTCCACTTGGCTATCAAAACACACTCTTGATTTTTCTTCCGCTTCCCTGGCCACTCCTTCTCATTCTTGTTTGCCAGATGCTTGCTTCTCCCCAATCACTTAATACTATTAAGTGTTTCAGGGCCCAGTCATTGGTCCTTTTCTTGTCTTGCTCTATACTCACTCCCTTGGTGAACTCATCCAGCCTCATGGCTTTAAATATATCTATGCTGGTAATTTGTATCTCAACGCCAGACTTCGTCCCTGAAGTCCAGACTCAAGTATGCAACTCCCTAGCCAACTTGGATCTCACTAGACACTCAAGTTTGCTTCCAAAACCGAGTTCCCGATCTTCATGCCTACACTGTGCCCTTGCCCAGTCTTTCCCTTCTCAGTTAAGGACAATTCCATCCTTCCAATTGATAAGGCCAAAAGCCTTAGAGTGGTCCCTGACTCTAATTTTTCTCTCACATCACACTCTATCCATTAGCAAGACCTGTTTATACTCAAAATATAGCCAGTGAAATGATATGATGTCTGGGATTCACATCCAAATAATACAGGAGGGGAGATGTGGATAGAGATATCATTGAATCAAGATTGTCTGTAGGTTGGGACTTCCCTGGTGGTGCAGTGGTTAGGACTCTGGGCTTCTACTGCAGGGGGCATGGATTCAATCCCTGGTTGGGGAACTAAGATCCCGCGTGCCGGGCGGCCAATAAAAATAAAAATGGGCAGGAGACCCGAATAAACATTGAAAAAACTGTGTACAGGTTGATAATTGTTGCAGATGGGGGATGGTACATGGAGGTTCATTGTATTATTCTACTTTTGTTCATGTTTGAAATTGTCCATAATAAGAAAATTGAATCCTACCACTTCTCCCTACCTTTCACTGCTCCCATTCTGATCCAAGGCGCCACATCTCTCGTCTGGACTGTTGTAGTAGCTTCTTAGCTGAACTCCTGCTGCTGCTCTCGCCTCCACTCCCCACCCTCTGCTTTTAATCCAATCTTCCCACGAACAGCCAGGGTGATACCGTTCAAATGAGAGTCCATCCATGTCCCTCTTCTGCTTGGAACTCCCCAGTGGCTCCCCATTTCAATCAGAGTAAAAGCCAACGTCTTAGTAGTCTCCAGGATCCTACACAGTTTGCCCCCTACCCTTGTACTCAAACCTCATCCCCTCCCACTCTCCCCCCTTGATCATTCCATTCCAGTCACACTGCTACTCCTCAGTCCCACCAGGCATACTGCCGCCACAGGGCCTTTGCGCTTGCTGTTCCTTCTCCCATTCTTTTTTAATTTTTTTAAATTTATCTGATTTATTTTTTATTGTTGGCTGAGCCGGGTCTTAGTCGCGGCACACGGGATCTTTCGTTGGGGCGTGTGGACTTCTTAGTTGCCGCACGCATGTGGAATTTAGTTCCCCGATCAGGGATCGAACCTGGGCCCCCTGCACTGGGAGAGTGGACCAGCAGGGTAGTCCCACCTTCTCTCATTCTTCCCTCTGACATACACACCGCTCGCTCTTTGCCTCCTTCGTGTCTTTGCTCAAATGTCTCCTTTTCAGACCCTCCCGAGCCACCTTTTTTGATACTGAACCCCTGAACATTGCCACTTCTCACACCCCCACCCGTAGTCAGTACCTTTTCACCTCTTTCCGTGCTTTATTTTCCTGATTAGCCCTTATCACCCTCTTAATTATTATAACGTTACTTATTTATCCTGTTTATTATCTGTCTCCACCATTAGAGTGTTAGCTCTCTGAAGTCCAAGAATTTTGCCTATTCACTGCTGTATCCCCAGGACACCTGCCTGGCACATAGCGGGCACTCAACAAATGTTTGTTGAATGAATGAATGGCATTCCAAGTTTCAATACCTGCCCACCTGTCTAGGCACAGCTCTAACCTCTCCTCTCCCTGCCCTCCATGCCAATGTGGATCTGACAGCGGAGTCCTGGCACATACCAGGATGATTCACACTTCTCAGCCTTATCCTATCTTGTGCCCTCTGTCTCCTGGCCGCATTCCCAGTCTTTTCCCATTCTTTTAAGACTCATCTCAAGCAGGTGTTCACTGACACCACAGGTGACCCCAAAGAAACTCTTCTGCCTGAATTTCCACCAGGTTTCTGTGCCCTCTTTTCTCCTAGTACACAGGACACTGGACTCTCTGTGTCTCCTCTGTCTCCCCCACTGCTCTGGGAGCCCCTGGGGCAGGAACCACGTCTTACATTGTCTTCTTAGCACAATGTC